ATATTATGACTGTCATAATGAAATAAAAATGGAAAAACTATATACTTATCTTGCTTATTTTTAAAGAAAAAAATTTATAGACATGGTCTCACCATGTTTCCTAGTCTGGTGGCATCAAACTCATGTAGTCAAATAATTTTCCTGTCCCACCCTATCAATTAACTGGCACTGTAAGTGTCTGCTGCCACATTGAAATAATTTATTTTATTTTTAAAAATATCCCAGTTCTTCTCAGGCTAATTTGTCATTTAATGTTAATTGTCTTTTGTGAATTGCAGTGGTTTATCTATTTACTTATATGTGTCTCTAGGAGACTAAACTTAGGCAAAGTCATTGGCCAATGAGAGTGTAATGGGAGTAGAGCTGGAATGAAGATATAGTACTTCTGATTAAACTGACTACATCATACATAAGCAAGGGCACAGATTTATAGGTGGTTCATGGTTAGAGGCATGCAATCCTTGCAAAATTCCAAGCTTCCATCAGATCACTTCTTTCTTTGATGTGGTTGTAAACATTGTTGTCTCAGTGTTCCTTTGTAAAAAAAAATTATTGGTCATTTAAAACTCTGAGTATTTTTCTTATTAAGAAGCTGTGGTGATTTGAAGCTAAGAAATCTCTCTTTGAGCAACTTAGAATGATAAATAATTAAGAGAACCCGAAAAGATCTAAAAATCTAATTCAGCTAAGGTTGGGAGCTTTGTGGGTTTTCAGAGTGATTATATCTTCTCTCTGCATGTGGCTGTGGTTAGAAGCTGTCACCTAGACAGGAACTTGTGGCTTTCTAGACTGCTTCAAACAGATTGAGGACTCTGAGATAACAAGTTCAGTAAAAGCATCTGGAGATGGATGGTTACCCAGAGTACTGCTTGCCCAATATCTTCCAAACGTTGCCTCACATGAGTACTTCAAAAGTGAATGAAGTTTCTGTGAATACAAAAAGTGTGCTTGTGTGTGTGTGTGTGTGTGTGTGTGTGTGTGTGTGTGTGTGTGTGTGTGTGCATGTGCGTGTACGCGCACAAGCATGTGAAGCATTAGGGGTGGATTGTTTCCTTGGATAGTTCCTATAGGAAAGAATACTTACCTCTCCTGGTGGGAAATTCCTGGGGTCTCATATTCTAGAATCAGCCAGGTGTAATGAAAGAGTGAGTTTCCTAGTAACTCAAAGAATACTTACCAATTGTATCTACCCATGCAGACTACAAACACATAATTAGGTTTTATGGCTTTGATGGTGTATTATTAACATCAGATGTTAAATACTTAATTTTTAATTATTCTTCACACTTTAAGATAATTCAAAAGGTGAATAAAACGTAAAACAACTATGGTCCTAGGCCCTCTGCCCTAGGCCTTGGGTATGTCTAAGCATTTGTTTGAATTAGTATATCTAATATCTGTCAGTTGAAAAATCTTTGCTCAGCAAATATGTTTTTATTTGTGAGATTGTCAATTTTATGAAAATATTTTTAAAATATAAAGCTGCTTATCTTTATACTAATTTCTCATTTAAATCTTTCATGATTCCTTGGAGAGAAAGAGAGGTTTCTATAAATTTTAAATATAAATATAAAGACATTTATACTTAACAAGAGAGCAAATTGATGCTAGAATTGGCAAGAGGAGAATTCTGACAAATTGAAGTGTTCTGAATTGTCTATTTTCGTTTGACTTGAATGAAAAATAGGAAGGTAGAGTTCAGGAAGGAAGGATGTGAAGGCAGATGGGCAGCAGCTTCTGATGTTATTTTACTTATGTCTTCTGGGTTATGAAAAGTTCCATCAGCCGTGACGTACTGAAAGTTCTATTAAAGACAGTTCTATTCATGTTAGAAACTACACGACTTACAATAAAAATTTTCATCATCATGATTATGATATTTAAAGTTTTAAAATTTTGGGTATATTTTTGTTTTTGTTTTTTAACCTTGTATCTGAACGTATAGCAAGGTTGGCCCTGGAACCAGAAATGTTCTCTCCTCTGCCTTCTGAATGTTAGGATAAGGCTTGCAATGCCATGCCCAGCTAACTTTATACAGTTTTTAAAAAGCATTTTATATGTATTTAACCCAGATTCAAAATATCCAAACTGGATACTAGGAGAGAAGAGAGCTATGAATTGAAATAACAAGGAAAAAGGACAGTTTAAAACAGTGTGGAGAATAATTTCTGTTACTGGTATTGGAATCCCCTTGCAGAATTTCAAATTGTCCTAATTTTGAGGTACCTTCTTCAAGAGTTGGACAGGAAGTTGTACAGGAAGACATTTGTAAGAAAACCTCACATTTACTCTGGATTTCTGTTTAACATCATCAATGTCCTGACTGTGTGACAAGGACTGAGCATGGTAGCAGAAACTGGAATCTTCTAGCTGAGAAGGCAGAGATCAGATATTAGAGCTCTGAAGAGGGCTGAAGTCTGGAGCAAAAATGTGGAAAAAAAAAGAGATACACAAAAACAGGTTCTGAATTCTCACAGGTGTTTGCTTGAATTCTTTGGCTGAGTGTTGGTCTGCATGTGTGCCATTGAGATTGGGTGATATTACTGGAGAATTTTCTAGGGTTCTGAGAATGGTTACATCTGTGTTGAAAGTTCCCAATGGACTTTGAAGCTCTGTACCAAGTACCATAGAGAGGATATTTGTAACAATCCAGTTGAGAATCATGTTTTTCATAATTTTATTGCATGGACCCCTGCCTTAGTCTGTTTTTTATACTATAAGAAAATACCCAAGGCTAAAATTCATAAGGAACTGAATTTTATTTTGTTTTCTGAAAAGTCTGAGATTTAGGTACCATTTGATTCAGTTGTCTGGTTAAGTCTATTCTTTTACCTAAGATGGTACCTTGAACGCTCCTACTTCTGGAGGAGAAGGATTCTGTTTCTTCACATGGCAGAAGATAGCAGGGACCTTTCTTATTTATTAATCCATTCTCATAAAGTCCATAATCAGAATCATGAGAGTCCTCATCAGTTGGTTGCCTATTAATCCCATAATATTGCCTTTCATCATTTCAGCTCTTGAAATTTGTAGGCCATCCATTCAAACCACAGCAGCATCCTGGTGTACAGCTCGCTGTCTCTTTACCCTAAGAAAATTTAAACTAGATATCAACAAAATTTGGAGGAGAGATAGATTTTAACCTGCCAAACTGGAAGAGTTTGATAAATACACTGGGCCTTTCTCAAACCCATTCCAGCAACATACAAATCAGTTCTAATTGTTTAGCTGATGATTGTACTGGTTGAGAGCAAAGACTGTTACTCTCTAAAGGAACATAAATAGAAGTTAAGTTACCTACATTTTATTACTACAATGTTCAATCTATGATTTAAAAAAACTATTCTAGAGATGTCAAAGGCAAGTGTAGCCTTCGGTAAGAGAAAAAGTAAATAGAAGTGAAACTCGAGATGGCATTGATGTTGATCTTAGTGGACAAAAGTTCGTGTGCAGATACCTTTGCAAAGAATTAAAGCCAAAAACAGTCAAGCACACAATAGGGTAATTGTGATTTTAATAAAGGAGCATGTAGATAATCATAGGTGTAAAAATGAAATAATTAAAATAAGCGAAAATTTTCTAACTAGAATGAGCAATAATCAAAATGTTTTTGTTTTACCACCTCCAATAAGATATTAAGGAAAAGCTGATTTCATATACATCCTTCTGAAGAATGTAGGGATAAAAGGTTGCAGGAAATGAGCAGTGACTGATTCAGGGAACTGAATAGCCACATCTTAAGTTTTGCAGATGTATAATAATTGAAGTTATAGCAAGAGAGGAGCATATGGGGAATATAAAATACTTAGGTTGAAAATGTACCATTTTAAGTAAGAAAATGTGAAGCTTAGCAAGCCCCAAGTATAACTTGACTGTGTGTGTGTGTGTGTGTGTGTGTGTGTAATATTAAACTGCCAAAAATAGCTAATAACTATTACAATGATAATGAAGAAAAAATATTTTGAGACAAGGTCTCACTATATAGCCTTGGCTGGCCTGGAACTATCTATGTAGAGTAGGGTGGCCTCAAATTTATATAAAGTACTGGGATTAAAGATATGCGCCACCTTGCCCAGCTTGAAGAAAATAGTAAGGGACTTTAAAGTATCAATGAAGAAGCTACCAACTCTCTCTAATTTATGTATTTAAAAATAATGCATGTGTGGGTTCATTTAAGAATAATTTTACATTTCAGATTATAGGAAGCATGTAGGCCCATCAGATAAACCATACAGAACCAGAATCATGTAGATATAAAATGGAAGTTGCTTTTGATCTCATGGCTCTTTACTGTTTGATCTCATTATGTTTTTATTTTATTTGTTTTTGATAGGCAATAAAGTATCATTTTAAAAAGTTTTCTTATGGGAGCATATTGCTAGTTTATATAACCATATTATAAATTATAATTTATTATTGTTGAGGCAAGGTCTTGCTCTGTAGCCCAGTGAATTAAAATTTTTGGTGATTTTCTTATCTCTTATCATCCAGATGTTGTGATAACAGTCATGGACCACTGTTTGTGACTAAGGCTATCATTTCATAAAATAAGCCTTTAAAGTCTGATCATTACATGTAATTTTTATGTTAAGTTTATCCTAAAATCTCTTTCATGGTAAAAGTTCATGATAAATTCAGCCTAAATTCAATATATAAATGTATATGTATATGTGTATATATTTGAAGCTATGCCAATTATAGATGAGAAATGAATTACCGAGTATAAAAATTGCTTCTACCTTCTGTTTCTATATTATGAAACCTGAATATAGAATTTCTTTCTCAATTGATAAGACATTCACTTATGTATTAGAATTTCTGAATTTTTGGTGTTTATCACTCTTTCCAATATTTGAGGGAATTGTTGTGCTAAAGATTTTCAGGGATATACATGTGTATATTTAATTTTTTCATTTAAATGGTATTTTAGAAAATGAATTTGAAGTAATTTTGCACCTAAAGTTCACCAAAAGACAGCCTCCTGTTTCTTTTTTATTCAGAGATTTTTATCAGAGGAATGTAGACTGGAATCTGCAATGGTTTTCAAAATCCCAAAGTGGTAAGTGAGACCAATTAAGTCTTTTCTTACCAATATTTAGTTGTAATTTTTCTCTCTAGTTCTTTACTGAAATATTTAAAATGACTAGCGACATCAATCCCAGTGGTTACACATCTGATAACTTTAGAGTCTGGTATTAGAAGTTCTGTGTTCATGTTCCTAATGGCTTTGATTGATTTAGTACCTGGAATTAGGTTCAAGAATGAAAGGAAGTGGGTGGGCAGGAGGCTATCCTCATGACATTGTCCACATTGCCCCATCTTTTTTGAGATAAACAAACTACATTCCAAAGTTGATGTGTGGCCTTAGTTGATCTCAATGGATTGACAAGAAAGGTGGCATTTCCTGTCTTTACCCTACCAATTCAAGAATTAGAACCCACATTTATTTTGTAGTCTGTAATCCAAGTGAAATGTTTTGATGACTGGTGGCACATAAAATATTAAAAAGTTTAAAAGAGTGGGTCAGAATTTGAGACTATTATAGTTATGAGACAAGGAAAATTAGACCTATGAAAGTTAAGGATGTGACATTGTAATGAAATAAGAGAACTGGACTAATACATTCATTTATTTCCTTACATTATTGATTTGATTGAATTTGGGACTGATATTATCAAAATCATTGATAAGAAGCCAAAACATTACAAGTTTGAAAAATCCTCATAAAAACTATCCAGGGCTGTGGATCTAGATCACTGATAGAGGAGTTGCTTAGTATGTCTTGGGTCAGCACACAACACATGCATATATCTTCAGACGAACAAATACAAGAAAAACAAAGATTTCATAAAGTTCAAATCAGTTTTCAAGCTGACACGTTAGGTTTATAGTAAACTTTTTTGTGTATGAAGTTTTTGTTGCAAGTAATAAAAAATAATAATTACAAAAAATTTGTATGCTTTCTGAGGCAAGAGTCTTGCTAAGTAGCCCTAGGTGGGTTAGTATTTATGATTTAGATCAAGCTATCCTTGAACAAAGTACAATTCTCTTGTCTCAAATGCCTGAGTTTTAGGACTGCAGGCATGTACCACCATGCCCTGTTTAAAAGCAATAATTTTAGGCAACTAGAATTGATAAGTTGTATATCTGGTCTTGGAATGTGTATTGAGTTTATTCTAATGTAAATTTACAAAAAGCCTTCGGGGTTGAAAATGATTTTGTGATGTCTATATGAATGATCTTGAAGGAGATGACTTAAGCAAAATAACTCATAAATTTAACCCATTAACAAAACTTTATTTTAGTGCAAAACACTTAACTCAGAAGTTGAAAGATAGTGTGCCTTTGGGAATGGTCCAGGAATTTAGACTTTGTTTTAACATGCTCATATTAGACTTATTCTAGTCCTGATATATTTTTGACAACATTAAAGTAAATTATTTCCATATTTACTTGTGCTAGGAGAGAGGGTATTTGACTCTGTATATTCAACAAATGGCTTAATATGTATTCTGTTTCAATTAGTGTAGATATTTCAACTACAGATCTGTTGTGTCTGGATTGTGTGTTCCCAGGAGACAAAGGTGAAGTTAATTTCTTTGTAGTCCTTTAAGCCTCAATTTAAAGTCATGATCTTTGAGAAGAAGTAATAAATAAATGTTAAGGCAGATTGTTTGCATGTATTGCATGTGCCATCATCTTTACCATCCCTCTGTAGCTTTTCATCTCTGCCATCTCTGCCAGAAGTCTTTACTTCCTCTCATCCTACCTCTAGTTACCTGACATGTCCCTCCTGGCCTGTACAACAATGGGAAGGCCCAGTTGTTCAACGTGCTCTTCATTGGAAGCAGAGCTTGCTGTACTCTTCTTTATGGACAGCTTGCTTTTGTTGTTAGCTAATTTTGAAATTGCTTCAGACAATAAAGCGGTTGACAGGTATCGTGGTGCACATCTGTAAATCCCAGGAATTTAAAATAGAGGCAGGAGGATCAGGAGTTTAGGTCTAGCTTGGGCTTCGTAATTGGTTTGAGATCAGCTTAGGCTATAAGAGACCCTTTTTCAAAAAGAAAAACAAAAAAAAGAAAAGAAAAGAAGAGAAAAAGAAAAAGAAAAAGAAAAAGAAAAGCAGAACAAAGAAAAATAATCATTATAAATTATATTTTTTCCAGTAATGTAGAATTTTATGATTAGGTAGTTTACACCAAACAAGAACTTTGCCTTGGATATGTTATTTATAACAGCAATATATTTTAATTAATAAGTATTTATGAAATACTGATATGCAGTAAGCATGTAACTATAAAGTTAGTGGTTTGAGATGGTACATTTTACTTCGTGTTTTTTGCAGGAACAAAATATAATGTAAGGGAATTTTAGAGGACATCTATCCCATCATCCTAACATCCTCTCTAGCTAGCTTGGCAGGATAAATTAAGCCTGACATTGTAGTGACTGCTAAGAAGCTTTTGCTATGTGTGTGAGAAACAGTAAATGTTCAAGACATGTGATTTGGTATTTGATGCATGCTCTGATTAGAATAATTTTTGTCTTTGGTATATTTAGACTGAACAGTTTTGCATTTATAGCTTCCACCCAGTAGAAGCTTGTTTCATTCCTCAGAAGGGAGCTTTTAGATACACAGGGTCAGTGACACATGTCTCTATTTGATTATTTTGTCACCAGTCCAAATAGCAAGTGTTTCTCATGTATGATTGCATTGCCATATATACTCACAGTTCACTTGGCCATCTTAGTTTGCACACAAGCTGAAAAGGTTCATAGATGTAGCTGCTGCAGCCTTGCTATGATCTGAATGGTACAGTAAATGCTGTAGATATACTGCCCTTTGTTGCAAATATGATACTTCTAAAGTTTTGTTTTAAAAAGCCATTTGATGTGTGTGTGTGTGTGTGTGTGTGTGTGTGTGTGTGTGTGTGTGTG